AGGCAATAATATATCATTAACGTTGTTTTATAGTAGTTTTTTGGGTTAATCTTTTTTTTTTCCTTTTTGTCTTTTTTCGTGACCGGTCACGGGATCGCAACCCTCGGTGTTGCGCCCACACCGCGCCCAACCAGTGAGCGTACCGGTCTCTATATGGGATCTGAACCCTCGGCGGGAGCGCCACCGCGGGGATCGCAACCCTCGGTGTCGCGACCACACCGCGCCCAACCAGTGAGCGTACCGGTCTCTATATGGGATCTGAACCCTCGGCGGGAGCGCCGCCGCACTCTACCAAGTGCGCCACCGGGCCGGCCCTGGGTTAATCTTTTTTAAACTTGATTTTGTACTCCTGGGGAGCAGGGGTTATACCTGTAGGCGCTTATTAGAAACCTGTTGTTTGTTGCAAATGTAACCTATGGTACAGGGCATTGGTTATGTACTCGTATATCATATATCGGGTCTATCCTTAACTTAGTAATTGTTACTTAGGGGCAACTTAAAATTTAAAGTTTGATAAAAACTTCTGATTCTTCAGTAACCTAGAAATAATTTCTTCTATTATGTAAATATGTATCATCAGGTGATCATTTGTTGTAATAAGTTTATACTATCTGTATCACACCTATTTTGGGCAACACATTTTTAATAGAATTATATTAATACTGTCTTTTTTCCCCTCCTACTAGTAGTTCCAAAGAACTGCTGGTTCAGATTTTAGCTTTTGCCAAGTTGTGAACATAGTGAAGGATGCTTAGACTACTAAACATTCAAATTGTAAGTAAAATTTATTTCTGCTGTTGTAATGTGTATGTTTAGAAAACAGATTTTGGAAATAGTCATTACCATAGCAAGCTTTAGTGTGATGAAACTGAGAATTTTTCTTAATTTTTCTTCTTAAGATACAAATACTTCCTATTACATCTGTGTTTTATAAGATCAAAGAAGGGACTAATAGTACTGAACCAGTTGTAGGCAGTGAGATGAAATTTCTGCTTTTTTTCAGGTATTTCATTTTATTGTAGAAGTTTATGGAAATTTTTATTATTTATTTCCATATCTGTTTGATGCCAGTAGTCAAACTTAATGGTCATAAAATTAATGGAATGACTTATTAGAAATATTTAAATATGCTTAATTTTTCTGCATTCTTTAACTTTGACATTAAAAAGTCTCGTTAGAAATAAATCTCTGTGCTTTCTGTGTATGAAAATTTTAACATACTGTAAATTGATTAAAAAGTAACTTTTTAGGAATAATTTAATGCATAAATCCAAATATATATATATATAGATAGATAGATAGGCATTCATCTCTCTAAGGGGGAAAAAGCTTAAGAGGTTAGGTTGAGAGGTTGCTTGAAACTATTTGTTTTATTGCATTTGAACTAATAGCGAAACAATTATTGAGGAAAGAACGATAAAATAATATCAAGGGCATTCTAAGTGGCTTCACTACTTTATTTTAAACTACTGTACTCGAAAGTATAAGCAACCCAAATTAATCTGTCTTACAGTTCTTATAGAGTATTCAAACTATGAATATGAAGTGAGATTGGTGCCATAAGCAAAAGACAGTTCCAATTATATTATTCTAACAAACAAACCAAATGAGCCAAAGAAGAAGAATGAAATATTTATCAACCAATAAATCTTTTTATTTGTTATATAGACAATTATTTAGAAGTTGTTGTCTCAGTCCAGCACATTTTATGTGTTCAATGCAAAATAGATATTAAAAATTTCTACTAAAATACTTCAGGAGTAAAGTTACATCTTCATAATGGGAGAAAGTTGTAATATTTTATTTCTTGGAATATAAGTATCATAATATCACTATATACAATAGCTTGATAAGAACTTATTCAGTATGTTTATAGATTTGAATATTAACTCATAAGAAGTGAAGTGCTCATTACTGCCCTCTTTTGATGCAGGGATATTGAAGCTTATCTCCTATTAGTTAAAACAGTGTTAAAAATTAAATTGCAAAATAAGTTATGCTTTATATCCTTCCTGTATACTTTTTATAACTTTTTAAATTTTTCCTCTTTTTAGACTGTGTGATTAATCATCTTTAGAAGACTGGATTTCTGGATATCTACTCCACTCCATCTCTCATGATTTTTAAAACATGATAATGCAAACCTGTACCACTGGCAATCATCCATGAACTTTTAATTACACTGATTAATAGCGTTTGAAGCATCCTCAGGGAATAAACAATGACATCAGCAGTGGTTGACAGTGGAGGTTCTGTTTTGGAGCTTTCCAACAATGGAATAGAAAATCAAGAGGTTAGGCATCCAATTTCTGTTTTGTTCATAGAAGTCAATGCATGAGCTAATTTTGATATAATGGCAAACACGTATTTGAAAGTAGAAATGTACAATGCATGAAATTGTACATGTAAATGTTACATATTCTCATATAATTTAGGTAATGGAAAGTTGAGGAAGGAACTGCAGGGCTTACCTGATATTTATGGAACATGCATATATTAAAATGAACATGGAAGAAGGAAAGAAATGGAAAGAACACTGTAGTATTTGTTGAGAGATAAATTTAAATCCCTGATAAAATATATTGTCTTGGATTATGGAGTGTGGTATATACGAGTACTGTTCCTAAATACCTAAATTTCATTTATCTTAAGTTAGAATTCTGTATCTGCTTTACTTGTCATCTTTGTTTCTTGGTTATTATATCTAATTCAGTATGGAGGTCCATCATATTTTAATCTAATATATATATATATATATATATATACACACACACACACACATACACACACACACATATATATATATACTTATGAATTTAGGTAATTAGTATATCAGAAAGGGTATTTAGGTTTTGAAATTTTAGAGATGTAGAATTTTTAATCATTAGCATATTTGCTTATTGTTATTGATGATATTGAAGAATAAGAGATGGGAGCAGAAAATGGTAGTACCAGAAATATATGAACTGCCAGGTCCTGGCTTTTATTTCCACCATTCATTAAAGACTGAATATTAGAAGGGATCTAAATTATAATATGGTAGTGCTGTCATAATAATGGATAAATATTTGGTTAGAGGTGAGGTGGGAAAATGGAGAGTTTTTTGTATTAAAATCTTTTCTCAATTTTCTGTGGAAGGTGATGCTGTTATTCGTACCCGGTATCAGTATAGTGATAACAAGTTAAGACATCAGGCTGTGTATTCTGGTGTCTGGATGCTTTTTCTTGCTTGCTTGGTATCCGTTTAGTCTTCCAAGATCCAGATAAGGTGTGGGGAAATTCAGTGGGAAGGGGATAAAGTGAAGGTACTCCTTCTCTTTTGTCAGTGGACTTGGTGACTCTTCAGTGTTCCTTTTGTATTAGAATCCAAAACTGGTTCAAAGTCCATTAAGAGAAGCCACAGCTATAGAACATGCTTTATTTCCTTAATTAATTTCTGTTTCTTCCTTCAAGATTCACTTTCTGTATGCTCACCTCCCGGTATGATTCACCAAAGAGATGAGAGACTCAGGGTACTTCCATTTCCTCCTATATCACCCAGACCAAATACTGCTTCCTTAAAGTGCTTTATTTTTATCCTATAGTTTTGCTCTGTTGGCATTTAACCAGTATGAGGGGAGCTGCCATGAATAATAGGCAGATTATATTTACCTTGTGGTAATTAAAAGGTATCATTAATATGAGGAAAAACAGGCCAATATTTGTTTCTGGAATCGCCTTGTATTTTTCTTGCTTTATGTGGAATCCCAGGTGTTCATGGCCAGGAGAACTGATTATCATGGAAGAAAGAAACTGATAAATTAAGTGACTTTACCAAGTTGTTATTGACTGATGATGGAGGAAGTCAGAAGGCAGTACTCTTAATGGGCATTTTAGGTAGTGTGTCACCAGAATGGGGGAAGCTATTCTTGGGGAACTTTTTTTACTTTCATTTATTTGTTCCTTTGACAAATATTAATTGACCACTTATTGTGTATCAAGTACTTTGTTAGGCATTGGGGATAAAGTATTTCAGAAGGGCCATGAAAAATAATTCCAGGCTAGATGGGGCTGGCCAGTTAGTTCATGTGGTAGAGCATGGTGCTGATAACACAAAGGTCAACATACTGGCCATCTCCCCCCCCAATAATAATAATAATAATAATAATAATTCAGGGCTAGAGATGGATGGAGAAGGTGGTGGGGGCTATTTTAATAAGTGTGGTCAGGGAAGACTTCTCTGAAGAGAAGTTTGTAGCTAAATGAAATGGTGGATGGGGCCATAGAAGTATCTGGGGGAAGAGAATTCTAGGAAGGGAGAAGAACCACTAATAATAGAAATATATTCTGATTTTACAAAGGAAGTTTTGAAAGCAGTAGTATTTGAAAGATAGATTTTTGTCTTATGAGAAGCTTTTCAGAAATATGTTTCCTGTATACAATAATATTTATACTTGTAAGGTGGGTGAAAAATGATTTGTCAAGATGTTATAATCATAGTCCCAGAATTGGAAGAAAAAGAATGTTTGAAAAGTGGTGAAGATCTGGAGATTTACTACCATGATTTTCAGGCTTTATTTTTTTATAACTTTTTTCCTGATTATAAAAGTAATGCATCTTAAAAAATTAGGATTATTATGAACGAAAAAAATAAATATAAAAGATACTAAAGTATTATAGGCAGATAATATGATTCTCCAGTTGAGAAAGCCAGTGAATGTACTGAAAAACCTATTAAACCTACTGAGAGTGCTTAGTAATTTGGCTGAGTAGAAAATGAACATAAAAAAATAAGTAGCTTTCCTTTGTAAGGCTGTAATTAGTTAGAAGAGATCATGAAAAATAAGATCCCTTTCTGAAAATTAAAAAAATATATAAAATATTGAGGAATAAATGTAAGAGATATATGGGATCTGTTTGAAGAAAATTGATTAATGATTCTGAAGCACATGAAAGAAAATTTTAGCTAACAAAGATATATACTTTATACTTGGATAGTAGTTTATCCCAATTAATCTATATATTTAATTCCATCTCTATCAAATGTTAGGGCAAGTTTGGAGAAAATTGATTATATGGATGTAAAGATCATGTGGAAGAGTAAACATTTAGGAGTAACCAGAGCAATTTTTATATAGTACTGCAGGTGTGTCCCTTATAAATGGGGAGTCAATATAGAAAAAATATAAATGGATTTAAATAAATTTTTAAAAACACAATAAATACAAGTTCTAGAGGATAGCTGCTTCCAGACAAACAAGATTGGGAATTTTTCCACTTCAGGTTATTATGGAATAACTTAAACCAGACTTATACTCTCACTATAAACAACTAGGAAAGTGGACAAAACACAGGAAGCCACAGTTTTGAAGCATTGGAGGACAGTGTAGGACTGTGCTTCCTGAGAGAAGAGAATGTCACCTCTGCGATTGCACTGGCTTATTGCTTGGAGCCACTTCCTAGGCTCTGGTGTAAGAAAAAGGAACCAAGTAGAGTGTAATTGTTTCATTAAATTGAGGAAATAAAATTTGGAATTTAGAGAGGCTAACAACTAATTTGAGGGGCAGAATATCTAAGAGGAAGAAGCAGCCCAGAGAAAGAACACCAGAACTCTTTCCTCGGTGGGCCCCTGACACTTTGGCTGAATACTCAGCTTTCAGGTGTAATGTGGAATTCCACGAAGCCAGGCAAAGAGTGATCAGAAAGGTGTAAACTCAGTAATTTACTCAGTAATTTAGAGAGTTCACTCAGGGCTGAGAGATATTAGAGTTCCTGCCAGCTAGAGTGGGGAGTCTTTGTTGAGTGCCCAGGGCATTCATTAAAGACTCCAGAAGGGTCATGCCTTATTTAGTAGGGGTAAACTAGCCGTAGAATAAAGTGTAGTCCAAACTTGCCCTAAAAAAATTTTAAAATAGGCCTTAAAAGTTGATTCATAAATAACTATCTGTTATAACACTTTAAAATACTGCAGTGAAATGTAGCACCTAACAATTTAAGATTTACATAAAAGAACCAAATGAAACTTATAGAGATCAATGTATACTATCTGAAAGAAAAGTTCACAGGGTGGGATTAAAAATAGATTAGGTGCTACAAAAGAATAGATCAGTGAATTTGAGGATGGCAATAGAAACTACATTATGAAGCACAGAGGAAAAAATGAAAGAAAAAAGGAACAAAGCTTCAATCACCTGTGGGACAGTATCAAGTTGTCTTAACATACATTTAATGAGAGAGGCAAGGACGGAAATAAAAAATATATGAAAAAACAATGGCCATAAATTTTCCAAATTCAATGAAAAGAATGAACCCATAGATCCAAACATTTTAAACTCCAAACAGGATAAAGCAGAGAACAAACAAACACAAAGGCATGTCGTAATAAAATTGCTGAAAGCCAGTTTCAGAGAGAAAATCTTAAAAGCAGCCAGAAAAAAAAAGATTTGCTACATACAGAAGGACAGAGATAAGCACTACAGACATCTTGTCTGAAACTGCAAGTCAGAAGATAATGATATTTTTTAAATGCTGAAAGAATAAAACTATCAACCCATAGTTATATATCCAGTGAAAATATTCTTCAAACTGAAGCTTTTTTTAGACAAACAAAAGCAGAGAGAATTTATTACCAACATACTTATTCTACAAGAAATGTTAAAAATAAACTCTTTAGGCAGAAGGTAAATGATACCAGATGGAAATTTAGATCTATACAAAGGAATGAAAAGCACTAGAGAAATGGTTAATATGTGGTTAACTATAAAATACTTTTTAAAATTAAAAAAATTTAAAAATTTTATTGTGCTCAAAACACTTACCATGAGATCTACCCTCTTAACAGATCTTTAAGTGTAAAAAATTATTTTTAAAATTTTAAAAAGGATAATTGTTTAAAACAAAAATAATAACAATATATTATGGAGTTTATAGTGTGAAGAAGTAAATGCATGTCAATAGAACAAATGATAGGAAGAGGGAATTGGAAGAATATTATTGTAAGCTTTTTATATTATGCGTAAAGTAACATACTATTTGTAGGTAGACTGTGATAAAGAAGTACATTATAAAATCTAGAGCAACCACTAAACAAATAAACAAATAAGCAATATTTGAAATAAAATTAGTACTGAAAAATACCCAGCCCTAGAAAAGACAAAGAGAATAAAAGGAACAAGGAATAAGTGAAAAAATTATTGAACAAAGAACAAGATGTAAACCCTTTTATTGATATTAAGTGTATATTTTCTAAATACCCCAATTAAAATGTAGACATTATCAGATTGTGTTAAAAAGCCAAACCTATTTATGTTTCAC